CCCCGCTCATGAAAGATGGCGAAAGATACAACATACCCTTCGGGCGGTGTCGGCTCACCCTCGTCACTAGGTATCAGCCACTCCTGGATGGCGGACAATGGACGGAGAAGGCCACGGCGGACAAGGCCCTCCAAACGCCGAGAGGTGATGCTAGATCTGCCCCACAACTCCATTAAAGCGATTAGGGAGAAGGTGGGCGCAAGGTCGACGGCGGCTACGGGACAGGCGCAAGCTTGACGGCGGCTGCAACACGGACGCAAGCCGGTCGACGGGGGCGGTGCAAGCGCAGGGGGCTGGGGCGATTGGCGGCGAATGTTTCAGACGCAAAGGCAAGGGGGCAAAATACGGAACCTTGGGGGCGAACCCCGTGGTTTTATAGGGGCGACGGGCGCGAGAAGGGCAACCGTCCGCCTCGATCTCCGGGCCTGCCACGCGCACCGCCGTGTCATGCCACGGGACACGCGCCCGCAGTCTCTATCCTTTCCCATCGAAAATCACGGTGGACGGTTCACCTTCCCCAGGCGAATCCGGACTCTCTTCCCACCTAGGGAAGGCAGGTCACAAAGATTTTTTCTATTTGGCCCACCTAGGGCCTAGAAGCTTGGTGGCTGGCCCAGCTGAGGGCGGGTCCACAAATGATCCGAAATCAAGGGCGCAAGCATTACTGGGGTCTTGATCCATGGTCAAGCCCCAGTTAGGTCAGCCCTGAATGAGATCCCCGCGAACGGGATACCACGACCCCCTCGAAAAAATATCCAGTTGACGAAAAAACCAAGTCCTTCAGCGTTACCCACGAAGGGTCCGATACAACCCCCCCAGGCGGTTCTATCCAAATCACCTGGAGGCTCGGGGGCTACACCCATCGGGTGCGCTCGCACGCACCCTCTGGCAAAATGACTCTGACGAAATCGAAAAACACCCTCCAGGCGGTTCTATCCGAATCACCTGGAGGCTCGGGGGCTACTGTCGGGGATCTAATACCAAGGTACCCTAGAAGGTGGAACAAATGACCATCGAACGTTAAAAACTTCTGGATGGACAAGGGTGCCGCTGCGTTCCTTGCCCGAATGACGAAAGTTAGGTTCCGTCTCGCCCGACGCCTTTGGGCTAGCCCCGCCTCGCCCGAGGGCAAAAGGGCTGGCCTCCGTCTCGCCCGACGCCTTTGGGCCAGCCCCGCCTCACCCGAGGGCAAAGGGCTGGCCTCCGTCTTGCCCGACGCCTTTGGACCAGCCCCGCCTCACCCGAGGGCAAAGGGCTGGCCTCTGTCTCGCCCAACGCCTTTGGGCCAGCCCCGCCTCGCCCGAGGGCTGAAGGCTAGTCTCCGCCTCGCCCAAGGGCTGAGGGATACACTCCACCTCGCCTGACCCCCAAGGGGTGGGCTCGGTCATGCCCAAGGGATAAGGACTGGGCTCCGCCTCGCCCGACAACCGAGGGCAAACCTCGCCCCGTTCGATGTCCAAAGGCTGGTTTTATCTTACCTGGTAACTTCTCTCCCGTTCCCTCATGATGATGGGTACAGAGCAAGACAAGACGTTCGGGTCAACCACGGCTTCAAGGACCATACCCTGCGCCCCGGTAGGAAAGGTACTGCCAGGGAACGACTAGACAGGTGCTTTAGACCCTCCCAGGTGCCACAGAGCCCAAAAGGTATTGCAGGCGCGTACTCTTCGCCCTGTAGAGTTGTAGGCGCCGCCTTCAGCTCTGGGACATGGAACCCGATGAAGATACACGACAACCACTACACTCCAGAAAAGGATTTGTGATCTCCACAAATGATGGACATGCCGTCACCACATTATGGACCCAAGGGAGCGGCGCCCGCTTCTCGACCCCTCGGGTCCACCGACTCGCAGGACCTTGCCCACAGCGCTACTCCGGACCTCAACTCCGCGTCCCTCCGACAGAGACTCATAGAGCCAGAAGGCGTGCGGAGCAAGGCTGGGCGAGGCTCATAAGTCAAAACCACTATACTCCAGCCCATACCCTACGCAGGGCACTATTCTGTAACCATCATGACATTCTACAGAAGCATCCACAGTATTGTAGGCGCTTATCTTCCTTTCGCACCCATCAAAATGGGTAAGGAGGCTAGGTAGAGCACAGATCCTAAGCCCTGACCCTTGTAAAGCCGTCCCCTCCATCTATAAAAGGGGATGCGCTTCCTCCAGCTAAGGGGGACCGAAAACAACGCAACACACACATAGTCAAGCTACTACCAAGCTCTCGACTTTCTTTCGACCCTTCCATCAGAGACTTGGGACCTGTCCCTCTCTCGATCGTTTGTATCCCCTACTACAAACCATTCACGGTGCTAATAACAAGAGCAACAACAAACTGGACGTAGGGATATTCAGCCCGAACCAGTATAAATCTTGTGTCCTTTAGCGCACCATCCGAGCCTAACGTGCATTACTATAAATTTACTTGCCGGTGCTTGTATGAAACACCGACAGGCATCATTTTATGAGCATTTCTCATTTGTGTCATCCATTGAACCTAAGAAGATAGATGCAGCTTTGAGGGATATTGATTGGGTCAATGCCATGCATGAAGAGCTAAACAACTTTACAAGAAATCAAGTATGGGAGTTAGTTGAGAGTCCTAAGGATCATAATATGATTGGAACCAAGTGGGTCTTTTGCAGCAAGCAAGATCAAGATCCCTCAAAGCTTATGGTAGTAACAAACTTATGGTAGCTAGCTCTAATTCATACCCTAGCCATGGCGTGTAAAAACTTGTCAGATACACTAGTTTCAGATATAGTCAATACTTATTGTTCAACTAAGAGAAATTGGAATGGTAGTAAGACTTTGCTATATACATGTAGTAAGTCTAAACTATCTAATATTTTTTAATTGCAATTATGTTTGTTTCCTATGACGTGATGTGTTTATTTTGTTTGGTATTAAATCACTACAAAATATCAATCATCTTTATATTAATTGGTCAAAATTGGGTGGCTTTCTGAGCGGCTTCTACCTTTTTTATTTTGAACGAACCGCTACTAAGCATAAACAAACCAAGCAAGCAACAACCTCAGGAATCATAATCCTAGGGAACACGTAGTCTATGCCTATCCATTCTAGAAATTGAGAATACAAGTATATATGATGCCAAACTTCTCATTACCTATCTACGTGATTCATCAACTCTTTGAGATAGACGATAAGACTCTTCGTCTATGATTTAATCAACTCTAAGGGAGTTTACTCGACCCATTCTTCAGTCTCCCGCACTGCTCAAGTGTGTCAACTCTGTATGAGGACCTCCTTCCCTTTTGCTCTACCCACTCTGTTCACACAGTTATTATTGTCTGATGCAGCAACTTTTTGCTAGGAAATTTAGATCACAAGGAATGACATGGCGTTTGATAAAGACCAACCAAAAACTTTTTTGAATGTTCTTTTCAGGGAGCCGCACTGATTTCAATTTTGGGCTCTTTTACAATGCTTGGAGGAAGACAAAACAAATCGCTAGTCCCGTAGGCTATTAGATCTAATGGATGATCTTTTAGTACCTCTTGGACTCTAGTTTCAAACATGTAATAAGTTTAAATTCTTGGTGTGTTTGTAATGAGTGTGGACTGATGCTGCTTCTTAGAAGAAGGAGAAGATAGAATTTTCCACTATCTAAAAAAATCTATATATAGTCAAGAATAAAAAGGATTTCCAATTGCATTGTTCATAATGGCTTACGCTTACCACATAGGCACACACCATCGGCTAATGGCCGAGTGACCATCTGCCTTGTCCATTTATTTTCCACAACATTGATATTTATAGCTATGAGGTCGATCAATTATTCAACTCGGACCTTTCTCCATTGTATATGTACTATATGTACCGATATCATGGAAGAAACCCATGGCCCACATGATGTGAAAGAGACTTATCAACCCTACAAATAGGAATATGCCAAGAGCTGCTCTCGAACAGGCCGTGGACTGGGTAGTGGCATCGACTACCTAAATTATTTTATTGGCAATGATTGCGATGAGAGGACATAGCGAGGGCCGGCATAAGTTTTCTATGGGTTTTGCTGCTTGATTATTGAGGAGAAATGAGCTCACCGACAAAACCAAAAAGAACGCTAAATTGAATTAACCATGCAATGTGGATCAAGCAGAGTAACTACCTACCTCATTCATACATGCAGATGTGGATAACAAAGCCAAGGTGATTCAATTTAGTAAACATTCAGGATAATCAAAACCTTAGGGATGTTGTAGTACATTATTACCTTCTCGCTCTTCACACTTTTATTTGACTTGTATAATTGGATGAGTTGATCTATTGTCACCTTATTCTTCCATAAGCTTATAGATAACTAGTATAAATATAAGGGACAATATCATTCTACTAAATTTGAGGAATGGACCAAACGATACACCATCTCACCACGTGGTGGTTCCTCAAGAACCAAACACCACATTAATCTTGCATATAACTCATGGCACCAAAAGTACTTTATTTGAACAATCAATTTCCTTACAATGCTCATGTGATCCATATCTAAGGACCTACCTAATTAGATTGAGGAGTCATTATAATAACCCAAATGATGTTCACCACTAGAAAAGCACATTTGCTAGCTCGCTCATGAGAAGATCCGCACATAAACAAGCTTGACCAATAAACGCATTTGTTTATAAATGCAAGAAAACCATAGCAACCAGATTTTTCTCCGTAATTAAATTGTTGTCTGTTGAATATGTTGAACACATCAACACAAATCAATTCAAAAGACCTATTGCAGTAGCCTTATTTTACCAGAAATGGCAAATCAAAATGCAAAAGTCAAACAACTTATAAGCAAATCCAAACCAACAACGGTAGCGGAGCTACGAGAGTCTCAAATTAAAATAGACAAAGCAAACTTTATCTTTTGCTGCCCATGTGCAAGCACCTAGTTACTTTTGCTTACAACATGAGTGCCCACACCTTCACTGGCTTCCTCGAGAGGTTCCATGGATTTTTGTTCCTCTCCATGTTGATGTTGCCTCATCCAAAATTATTGTTGTTGCATGCATCATCACCGTAAGTTGTAGCCCAATTATTGGTACCATCTTCAGTCTCAACTTTGGCATGACTCGGAGGAGAAGCATATTTGGATGGTTCCACTTCCACCTCTTCTTCTTTCTTTGGATGGTTACTGCAACACTTCTTGCCACGAGATGGGCCAAACCCGTAGTAGCAGTAGAAGCCCTCGGTTGCATTGTAGTTATTGGTATGCTTCTTCTTTTGTGCATTAGAGTTGTTGGAGGGCTTGAAGGCTGTTGTTGGTGCCACCACCATCACCTTATCTTTGTCCATTGGAGAACCAAACTCTAGGTTCAAATAGGAACACTTCTTCATCAAGTGGTACTCACAGAATGAATTGGGGCGGCTCACACTGTTACGGCACTTCCAACCCTTGCCATCATTCTTCTTGCACTTCCAGGTCTATGGTGCCCCTTCCTCACCCTCCTTTTTCTTCACATTTGCATTCTTTTGGTTTTGTCCCTCTTTATTCTCCTTCATTGTAACCTTCTTCAATGTTGTCTTCTTCTTCAGTGTTTGTAGTTGTGCTCTATAACTGCTAGCTGTGGCCATGGCCATCGTCTCCTCATTCTTCATGAAGGTGACTGTCATGCTGGCTGTGGAGAAGTGGCATGCATGGGAGCCCATATTGACACAATAGTTGTCAAGGAGGTCATCCACCTCCTAATAGAAAAAGCAGGTAAATAAACAAAAAAGTAGCAAGTCATCATCATGCATAACAACAATGCTCAACCTGCTACTTTGCCAACATAGGGGACATAGATCTAGAGTTTGACAACGCCACCACTCTAGTGATTTCAATGTTTCCTATATAGCCTGCCTAAATTACCACAAAGAAAGACTAAAAGAGTAGTTAAAGTAGCATAGATCCAAACCAAGCAGGGGAGCCCCTCCTATCGGTATAGTCTGCTAGCCTCCAGCTTGAACCTGTAGACCAACCCTAGAGACAAAAATAAACCAAACCCCAAAAGTTGCTAGAACCATCAAGACCTCTCAAAAGTAATGCCCTTGGGAAACATGAATTTCACACACAGAGCCACCAAGAATGGAGTACTGGTTAGAGATAGAGAGAGAGTAGGAAAATATGACAGGAGAGGGAGATGCTGACCTGAGGATCAGACAGGGAGAGGTCATCCAAGAGCTCCTACTGTGAGCGACTGAGCTGGCAGGGACCCACAGGTGTAGTAGCAGGGCTCAAGAAGCCACCAAGATCGTGAGATATGAGCGGCATCAGACACGGATCTAGGATCAATGGTGGTGCTAGGAGCACGGGAGGCAAAGCTACGAGTGTAGAGTAGGCGGTGCCAAGGAGGCGAGATGTTCTCTTATGAATCCACATGGTCAGGACAGCGGAAGAGGAGAGCAGATCTGGCGTCCTCAGGGATCTAGGGTTTGTGATTTGGGGTGGGAGGAGGTGGAAGGGGTAGATGTTGAGGAGGAAATGGGAAGAAGGTTCTCTTGGCTCTACTTTTCTTTAGGTCTAAGTTTGAACCCCATCATGTTAGAGAGGCGAACTTCCATCACCAGATCTGAAAGGACCTTGATGTCGCCTAGAGGGCGGTGAATAGACGCTTCTAAAAATTAACAAAAAAATAAAACTTGCAGCGGATTAGTAGAGTGCGTGGCACTGCTGCTCCGTCGTGCGGCACTACCACACTGTAGCACTGCCTTACTAAGAATGCGGCACTACCGCACCTACGCAGAGAGCTTCAATAGCAGCTACACCTAGAACCCAAACTTGGAGTGTGCATGGAGATGTCTAGTGGCAAGTCCACTAAGTACCTGCACTCACAAACACGCACAACCAAGTAGATCGAGTGGACATAGATAATGCAAATCAACATAAGAGAGAGGACACGTGATTTATCACGTGGTTCAGCTCACCACCAAAGCTTGCCTATGTCCACGTTGTTGAGGAAGCCACAAAGGCTTTGGGTCTCTTCCAACCCTATCCTCTTCTCAAGTCCAACATTAAGGTTGAGCTTGAGGTTTCCACTAACATCTTCAGGTAATACAAACTTTCCCACGGCTCACCACAAGCACGGGAGCTTGTCGAGCGACACCTAGCCATCTAGGAGGCTTCCCCTCCAAGAGTAACAAATGTGCAATGAAGATCGAAGAAGCCCGACAAGTGCTCAAGGTTTGGAGTGCTCTCTTTTGCTCTCTAACTCTTAATCACACACTAATCACTCACTCTCACAAATAGAGGGGTTAGAGAGAGCTCACAAATGGCTTAGGAAGGGTTGGGAGTGATCTAAGCATCAGCAGCATGACCAGGAGGCGTGGGATGAGTATATATACTCACCCCACAAAAACTAGCCATTGTAGTTCAAAAACTAGCCGTTATAACCTATACAGGTGCGGCACTGACATGAGGCACTGTCGTGGCGCGGCACTACTACGAAAATTCGCGGCACTACCGTAGCTCCCAGAAATAGCACAGGTCACCTTAGAGAAAATGCCATAACTTTTTACTCCAAACTCCGTTTTCAGTTATCTTGGATATTTTTGGAAAGCTTGTTTTGAAGGTTATCTAACCCAGCAAAGAACAAGCCCTAAGATCAACAAGTGCAAGTGTTGTGCTAATGTGTTTCTCTCATGTTAGCACTTGAGTTTGGTTAGTTTGAGCACTTGAGACTTGTGTATGATTCGTATTGCATCCCTCTTGATAGTACAACATACCTATACTCAAGATTAAGAGAATATAACCATTTCAACCACTTGAGTCTTCAATGTCTTCATATGCCATTTCTTCTCAATATCACTTCATAAGGGGTTGCAATCATCTAATGTGTTTGTCTATGAAGTGCTCAAAGAATGTCACTTGTTCTGTCATGGTTTTATGTGTAAATCTACCTCCGGTGGTCATGTCGAGACACAGGTTAGCTTACATGTCAATACCCAAACAAAAGAGTCAAAGCAAAATGCTATCAGGTAAAGACAAGTCTGGGGCTGCGTGTATTAATGCTGAAAACCTAGCTCAAGCTACACCTAAAAACACCTTCTCGCGCTGCTCAAAGTCGAGGATCGCCATTGGTAGAGAGACAACACGGGACATGGGGAACAATGCAAGACAAAACTTGTCCTTAAGTTCATCCTAGTACCCATTCGTACTTTCTATGGCGTGTGTGTACCATTGCTTCGTCTTCCCCATGAGGGAAAAGGGAAACAATTTTCACTTTAGAGTTTCTTGTGTCATGCCAGAGATGCTCAGGCATGAACACATTTCCTCGAACTCTAGTTAGTGATTGCATGGATTTTCCCTATCAAGCTCAGAGAAGGGTTGTGCCCAAACCATAGCTATTATACCAGGGTGGAGTTCACAGCGAGATACAACGGTTAGTTTTGGTGGTGGCTCAAGGAACTCACCCTTTGAAACGGGAAGCTTTTAAATAGAAGTTGGAGTTGGCTTCATGGTGAAAAAGATAAAAGAAAATGTTTTTGTTTTTATAAAAAAAAAGAAAGGATACAGATACGAGGACGAACTAGGTTCGAAGAAGATACCAACCGTTCCCCGGCAATGGCACCAGAAAACTTGTTGGTATTTCTTAATGTCTACAGAAGTTAATCCGTAAGCATACGGAATTACCGTCATAGCTTTCACCTAGAAGTATTCAGGGTATCATATTTCCATAGGGAACAGAGGTATTTCTTCTAGCTAATTTGTCCAAGGACAACACAAGGATAGCAGATGAGGGTAGAGAAGGATTCCTATGGCTTAGGGTCTAAGGATAGATAAACTCTACTTTCACTTGCCTACTTCGAGCACCAGAGATCACCTGGTCTGTCAAACAATGCTGGCCTACGGCTCTATGTCGAACCCGAACATGGGGGGTTACAAGGGACGGACAGGGCTGTCACCACCTGCCGCCTACCCCTCAACCATGGGGCGCGAGGCAAACAAAGGTAGCCTCTAACCTAGACACCACGTCTACACTATCGACTACTACTCTAGTGTTGATTAGGGTTATTCGTCTTTATCAGAAGCCCTCTACTAGAGCATCCACCATGGGGACAGACGACGAACTCGCAAACAAGTAAGAGTAAAGCTCAACTATACAAAAGACTTTTATAACCAAAGGAACCACGAATACTTACTAAGACACCCATTAAGGTACAAAGCATGTATCCATCGAGGTACAAGGGGGGAAGGTTACCGACAAGCCTGGCACTTCTTCCCTGAACTCTTCCTCACATCTCTCCCTAATACTTTGCTAGAGCTAGCTAGGGCCTAAGCCCATGGAGTGGTGTTCCTCTTCTCTTGCTCTTTGGTGCTCTTCTTTTGTGTGTTGTTGAAATGAGGAGGAAAGAGGTCCTCCTTTTATAGGTGGAGAGGAGGGGTGTATTCCTTGGAATATTCATTGGATCTCCTCAAAAGGAAGGAGCAAACCGCCCTCAGCATTTAATTTACCGCCATCCCAACCTGAATCGTACTTGGAGAGGCGGTATGAACCGACCTGGCAAGGTTGGGCTCGAGGCAGGCCACCATGGGTGCGCCCGCACCCTAGGTGGGCCACCTTGAGTCCAATTTTGTTGGGCTGCCTCCTGTGATCTCCTAGACTTGGCCCATGGCGGTGTTGCGCAAAGTTGAGTTGGTTTGCTTGAATTTTGGGCTTATTCTCCACTTATTCTGGGCCCTAATTTGCTTGGTTGTGGGCCTCCTTTCCCTTTGGCTCATGTCAGGTATTTGTATTGTTATATTTCTTGTATACTTTAGGTATATTTCTTGTGTAATTCTGACATGTCCTCCTACAAAAGATCAAACACCAAAATTTGTAGAAAGTGTTAGTTCTAAAGCCCTATTTCTAAGTTTGGTGTCTGTATGCTAGGATTTTATGCAAAGATTGGCAATTGAAAAAATGAGTTAAGGATCACCAACAGGCACCAAGCCCCGGTAGGAGTAGAGGGCCAAGCCCTCTTCCCGTTGACCTCCTATGCGCAACCAGATCGGAGAAGACCAGGACATGCGTGACACCAACAAGGCAAGGCACTATGTTTAGGGCAAATTGTCGAGCCCCAAGCGACGAGAAGGGAGTTCAAGCCAAGACCGGTTCGTCCCTCAGGCGTTCAGAGCCAAAATCTAGGCGGCTTCCTACCCCAATCACTTCTGATAGCAAACCCACATAGCCAGGTATGATGGAGAGACCAACCCCGACCATTGGCTCGAGGACTACTAGCTCGCACTAAGGGCTGGGGGGTTGGACGATGACTTCGTGGTCTAATACTTGCCCCTACTCCAGTCAAGCTCGGTGAGGGCATGGCTCGAGCAACTCGACCCCGACAACATCTGAAGCTGGAGCGACCTCCGCTCAACCTTCATTGGGCATTTCCAAGGTACATACACTCGACCTAGTAACTCTTGGGAGTTGTGTAATTGCGGGCAGAGGTCGAACGAGACCCTTCGAGAGTACATCCAACGCTTCTCCAAGAAGTAGAACGAGCTCCCTGACGTCATAGACACTGAAGTCATCAATGCCTTCACCTGTGGCACCACCTACGAGGCGCTTGTCCACACACTCGAGCACAAGGCCCTACAAACAACGTGGGAGCTTCTGGACATCACCACTAAGTACACCATAGGAGAAAGGCGG